TCCCATCTCTCTTCTCTTCTCTCTCTCTCTCTCTCTCCACTCTCTCTCCTCTCTCTCTCTCTCCACTCTCATCTCTCTCTCTCCACTTCTCTCTCTCTCTCATCTCTCTCTTTTCATCTGTCTTTCTCTCTCTCCACCATCTCTGTTTCTCACACATAATCTACATTTTGCAGGGCGTCACACCGGTCAGAAGTCGGTGCTCTACTCTTCTAGTCTCTTCTCCCTGCTTCCCATCTCTCTCATCTCTCTCTCTCTCTTCTCTCTCTCTACTCTCTCTCTCTCTGCTCTCTCTCTCTCTTCTCTCTCTCTATCCACTTCTCCTTCTCTCTCCACTCTCTCTCTCTCTCTCTCCACTCTCTCTTCTCCACACACTCTCTCTCTCTCTCTCTCTCTCCTTTTCTCTTCTCTCTTACCATCCTTCTCTCTCTCTCTAACATGTTGCATGGGACGTCTCACCCGCCGTCAGAATGTCCGTGTCTTTACTCGTCTCTACGCGTTCGGTCCGAGCACACGGCTCCTTGCACGCCGGCGACACTACACGCCCTAGCGTGAAGAGCAGGCCTCGCCTGCCGCGCAAACTGTGGCGCCTTCTTCCTCGCCCGCAGCAAGGGGGCGCGCGTCCCCTCGGACGCGGAGGCGGGGGTAAAATCAGCATGTAAAATCAGCGTGTAAAATCACATGAAAAATAATTATATCCAATAAATTCTATTATTGATAATAATAATAATAATGATCAATAACTAACTAATCGTCCGTAACTGGTGTCATGACGATAACGAAATCGAAAACAAACGAGACGAACGACGTAGACCACCACGAGACGACCTGCCGCCACCAGATGGCGTGGCGACGACGACGACGACGATGAACCGCTTGTGGGGCGGGGAATGGCGAGAGAACGCTTACCTGCTGGAAGCGTTTGAGATGTGCCGTGAGAACGACGGGCGGGTTGTAGATGAGAAACTGCTTGCTGGCGTTCGTGTAGACGCGCTCCGGCTTACCGCCTGAAACAAGAGAACATTCAGAGCATGTCGTAAACAGCGCCACCTGCTGGACCTAGCAGCCTAGCTCGTCATACACTAGCGAACGTGTTTACGTTAGTGAAGTTGCTTTCCAGAGGGCGCTAGCAAAGAACCACCAGCATATATATTATCCGAGGGTGTTGCTATCCCCCGGGCGTGGAGGGACGGTCACGTAATACAGTTGACGTATACTTCAAAACTTAAGGGTGTTGCTATCCCCCGGGCGTGGAGGGACGGTCACGTGATACAGTTGACGTATACTTCAAAAGTTAACAGTAACCCTAACCCTAACTCCAACACTAACCCTAACACTAAATATCTATATATCAGATCTCTATATATAGGGGTGTCATCCACAAAAATTAATCTATGGTGTGGGGACAGATATCAAGATGAAAAAACCCTAACCCTAACCCTGATCCTAACCCTAATCCTAACATTAGTGCTGCCACGTTGCGGTACTGTCTCTCAACGCCCGGGGGATAGCAACACCCCAATACCGATACCAAATGTGCCAAGGAAGCCATTTTGGGAGAAAAGAAATTAATGCAGGATTGCTACCCTGGCGGCTAAAGCACACGTTAGGCTAGATTTGCAGTTGTTTAAATTCTCGATTATGCTTCTGTCCATGATATATTATATATGCATTATTATTATATTATGTGTCATATATTATTGTAATTGTTACTATTATTATAATGTATTATTATTGTTATTTTATTATAATTACTATTATTATTAGTATATTATTATTGTTGTTGTTGTTGTTGTTGTTGTTGTTGTTGTTGTTGTTGTTGTTGTTGTTGTTGATGACTGTGAGAGTGCATCGATGGTAATCTTACCTAATTATCTAATAATATATCCAATAATATATCTATCACTCTGTATCTGTGGGATATAATAATTTTCGGGTGCCCTACTGGGCTACTGGCCTAGTGGGCTAGTGAAGAGATTCTCTCAGTTTTTCACTGGCGCGTGCCGCCGCATACAAAGCTCTCTTCTTGCCACCGTTTCCACACTCTATCTCTTTTTGCTGAGTACTAAGCAGAGAAGCAGCGTGTACCATTTGTCAAGTGTTTGGTATGACACGGCCGGGAGTCGAACCCACAACCTTCCACATGCGAGGAGAGCACTCTACCAATTGAGCCGTCGCTGCGGTAGTGTGTAACTGTGTAGCTGTCTAAGGCCAAAACAAAATATAGGTGTGGTTACGGTTTCCCGACCGACCCTATTTATTCCCAGCGACCCTAAGCATTTTATTCAGTTTTAAAAATTAAAAATTGAATAATTAAAAAAAAAAATTTCAATTTAAAATTTTCCAGTTCCTGCTTCAAAAGGCACAACGCACATCCTTCGGACATGGTTCGTAAATAAAATATTTCAAGAAAATAAAATGTATTCCCTACCTACCCTGGCATTTTTTTTCGGCATGTAACGGTAACCACACATATATTTTGTTTTGGCCCAACGTAGGAGGGGATGGCGCTTACCCGTCGCCGAGTCGCTGTTGATCTTCGAGCGAGCGTGACTGCACGTCTCGCAGCCGAAGCGATTGTTTCCCGTCAGCAGCTCCGCCGTCGTGAACTGATGCAAACAAGAGAGCAGGCTGCACTCGCGCGCCGCCGACTGGTACCGCTCGCCGAGCGTCGTCCGAGACCGACGCATGCTCTCTTGTCGCCGCGCCGCCGTCGGCGAGTTGCGGGAGTCCGGCGCGGCAATGGCGGCGCCACCGTTCACGTCGCCGGAGTCGTCCGCTTGTTTCGGCGAGCAGGCACTGCCAGTGACGCCCTCTTGTTTTGGCGAGCTCTCGTTTGCATCGTCGCCTCCCAATGAGCGCCCCCTTGTGGCGCATCGACCTGCGCACGCGGCGCCCCCTATGCAACCGTTCGTTGTCGGACTCACGTTGTTGTCGCCCGCCGTCTGATTCGAGACAAGAGAGCAGCCAGCGGCAGTGGCGCTCTCCGCGTCGCAGACGGTGCTGCCGCCGCTCGACGACAAACACACCTGAGAGACGTTCAACTGTTTCATATCCATGCAGAGCGTGTCCATCGCCGCGGGAACCGTCACCGACAAGCAACCATTCCTAACCACAGCATCTGCAATGTAATCATGCAGAGTAAGGGACCATATAACAATCATCAAGGGATCGTATAACAATCATCGAGGGACCGTATAATGGGAGCTGTGCTATCGTGCTACTGTGGAATACCTGCATCTACTGCGACGGCATTGCTGCACTTCTGCTTACAGATGTCACTGTCAACATTGTCCTCTACATCAGCGCCATCTATAGGAGCAAAACGTGAACATGTAGAATAACGATACACCTCCATACAACATTGTCTCTTACATTTCAACTTTCATTGCTCAATGTTATCTGGAAACAGTAATGCCTCCGCAGTCCCACGAATTACTTCTAAGATCATGACACGACTCTGTTGACTAAAGTCGTAAGGATGATTTTTGTAGAAAGCTTGTAAGGGCATTGTAAAATCATTTTACTCTACTATATAAATACATTGTATTACCTGTAAAGTCATCGTATTCCCTATAAACTCAGTATATTCCCCGTAAAGTCATTGTATTCCACGTGAAGTCATTATATTTCACGTAAACCCATTGTATTTCACGTGAAGTCATTATATTCCCCGTAAAGTCATTGTATTTAATGTAAACCCATTGTATTTCACGTGAAGTCATTATATTCCCCGTAAAGTCATTGCATTTAATGTAAAGTCATTGTATTCCCCGTAGAGTCATTGCATTTAATGTAAAGTCATTGTATTCCACGTAGAGTCATAACATCGCGTGTAACATCATTCTACCTGTGAGGTCCGACTCAGAACGGCTCCGTTCACCTGCAGCCTTGCCGCTCGCCGCGTTCTCCTCGCGCCCCCTAGTGGACGAGTCGCTGTCGGGTTCCTCCTCGTCGTCGCCGACCACGCCCTGGTCGTCCCCGGCAACGCCGCCGCCCAGTGGCAGGGGCTTACAGCGCCCCCTACCCTGCCTCTTCTTCTGCTGCAAGAGAAACGGGTCGCTGTCGCTAGTCTGCGTCGACGCCTCGCTGCCGCGGCAACCGTCACCACGACAACGCACGCAATCGAACGAGCTATAGGCCGAGTTTCCATCTTCGGGTCGGCGCAGCAATGCCGCACCCCGTTCCCGCTAGGTGGCGCCGGCGCGCTCCCAATTTCTCCACGGCGAGGCGCCACTGCCACTCACCTTCTCCTTGCGTTCCTTCTTCTTCTGATGCTTGCTCTTGGCGTCGGCGCGAGCGGCAAACTCATCCACGGCGTTCTTCGCCGGCGCCCCCTGGTGGTCGGCCACCTGCGAGCGGAAAAAAACAAGCGCGACGTTAGGGTTCATGTACCGCAGGGAAAAACTGCTGGAGCATGTAACACTCTTACTTTATATTACCCTCACTTACTTATATAAAACTCTTTCCCGGCAGCTTTCCACGGAACGGTGATGGTATAAGGCGCCATTTTTCATGGCGAGCAGATTTCACTCACAATTACAATAAAAAATTTGCACAGGGGAAAGATAGTGATCCGCTAGGGGACGGCTCTGATT